GAGACATGAAATTAAACTAATTAAACTAGAGATATGATACAATCCATCAAGAAACAAGTGTGAACCATCAAATAAAGCACAAGAGTGTTCCATTAAGCACCATGCCTTGACCTTCACTAGATTTACATTATCAACACACATAGACATGCACCAAATTCATTAAATCTAGAGATAAAAACATGAACATCGATTCTAGCATACATAGACATATGACTAGAGCCAAATGATCAATTGAAAGCATTAATCCATGCAAATCAAGTAGAAATCACAAGATCTATATTTATCCATGGTCAAAACATCTATTACAATTAAAATCCCCAAAAATACAATAATGTCTATCTCTATCTCTCTTGAATGATACAATAATGTTCAATAAATCAATTACACACTCCTTTGAGTAAAGACCAAGTCAGAATTACAGCTTCTGATTGGAGGAAATTCGCCGCTACACAAGTTAGGTAGAAATCGGCACACTTGGGAATTAGACAGCTCACTGCCAGCAGGCATTTCGATCGATCAAACACTTAGCTTCGATTGATCGAAGCTGATGTGGCTCGAAAATATCTTCCAGGCCTTATCCACTTTGCTAAGCTGGCACCGCCTCATTTCGATCGATTGTAATCTTCATCGATCGATCGAGATTCCCTTTCGATCGATCGAAGTTTCCCTGGTACATTTTTCTTGGCTTCTTTTGAACTTTGCTCCTTAGTTCCAAAATAAAGCTAAATGGCTCTTGTTATCCTGTTTGAACTTTATTAACCTAAAATAAACAAAAACACAAATAAGTATCTAAAATATGAAAGTAAGATAGATGAATGGACTAAAATACCCTAGCTTAGGCGTTAAATGCGTCACATTTGAGCACTCATCACACCCCAAAACTTAGATATTGCTAGTCCCTAGCAATAAACTACAAGGAAAATAAAGAAATAAGAAACTAAGTAGCTATGACCTAGAAAGCAATAAAATGATAGCACCACTTTCATAGGGAACACGATTGCATTTAGCGTATGCAACAAGCCTTTTAAACCCCTAGGTTACCCCTAGTGGACAAGTGAAGTCTTGTGAGGGTTTCCAGAAATGATACCCACAAATTTTGAGCTATTTCTCACTAAAGAGGCACCAATATACAAAACAAGCATTGGGAGAAAACTACCTCAAGTATGCAATTTTTCAACCATTTCCAAGCAATATTCCAAAATTTCAACATCAACCAAGCAAGTATGGTCTTCCACACATCAAGAAAATGATCATACAAATCAAAACAACTTTAGAATTCTTTTAAGTGGACTGACATCAAATATGTTGCTATCTAAGCTAACTAGAGAAATGATCACATCCTTATCCTAAAACTAACACACAAATCTAATATCGTTCATCAAAATATAGAGTGGACCTTTTATTAAAGCTTTATTCAACTAGGTTCGCTTATTCTTTTCTTTTCTTTTTTTATTTTTATTTTTTATTTTCTAATCCTAGAGGATTAAAGATGGAAGCATGGTGCAATGTGTTGATCTATTAAGCTTTCTAGCGATCCATGAGGTCGAGCATTAGGTCAATGACTTCCAAACCGGACGGCTTTAGGGCATTAGGTGTTTAAACATCCCTAAGGACTTACAAGCTCAAATCAACTAGACTACAAATCAAAATAACCTCTATCTAATCATTTCTCACTTCTAACCTTTTGGAAGAAGTCCTCACTTTTTTTTTTTTTTTTCATTCATTCAATTATTAACCTAGAGTTTAATGAGGCTAGAGTCCCGGCTACTCAATGAAAACGGTTTGTTATCCACTTTTGCCAAGATGAAAGCTTTCAATGCATTACTAGCTCAATTGGGATATAACCAATTCAATAATCAACAAAGCATGTACACTACAAATGAATGCTAGTGTGCGCCTGTGCTAGTGTAGAATCCTAGAGTAAATCTCAAAACAATCACAAAATCAAGATGATGTGGACCATAAATGAAAGCAAAATATCAATCTTTCGAAAAATTTACTCTTAAATGGCATTCACAAGGCATACAAGGAGTATTGGACTCTCAAGTCGAGTAATTTTTAAATTCTAAGTATCATGGTCCTCGAAAGATCAAAATCATCGTCCAAGACTCTCAAATCAAATCACATGCATAGAAAGTAAGTGTGATATGTAAAGTCTGCAAATACACTCCCAAACTTAATATGTGCATTGTCCTCAATGGGCAAAGAAGCAACAGATAATGGAAAGAGTATACCAAATGGGTGAAGCACAAAGGACCCGGCAATGGAAGCTCAGCTTTGGAAGGCGCACCCCCAAACTTAGATTCTGAAAACCTGTTTGAAAATCGTCACACTAACAACTGTCACAGCATATGCATCAATGACATAACTGAGAAGTGGAACTGAGAACTGGGCAAAAATCATGGCATCTATTAATGTAAAGCTCAGAGTATCCAAAACTGATATCAAGATCCAAAAATCTATAGATAGAAAATAAATGTAATCTCAAATATCGCGACCCGAAGCAACGTCGTACTTGAAAAAGGAAGAGAAAGATGATCGAGTACCGGAGTGGTACTGGCCTAAGAGCCTCCGACGATCAAGTCAGTGCTAGATTAGGAGGGTGAAAAGAAAGTTCAAAGCTCTCTTAGGGATTTGTGTCGTACCTTTTATGTTAACCCGAAAGCCCTCTTTATAGGGGTGTCAAGTTGTATTGAAGGAGGTGTAATATTCCTTATATTTTTCCAACACGAAAGGGAGAACGTATTCTTATCCTTATCCAAGATAATGGAGTTTATCCTGATTTACAGCTTTGTGTGACGGTCAAACTTCCTGGCTGAAGACTCCTCATCAGTTGCCCCCCATTCTCGGGTTTGTATGTCGAACGCAGAGAATGTAAAGATTTATTCCCTAACTTATTCTTCATTATGCCATATATATATTCGCACTATTATATATATTTTTTATTTTTGTCCAACAAGTAAAAATAACACATATATACTTTATTTGCTGCAGAAATGCACATGGGCTCTGTAGCCCACATGGTTAAGACCCTCCACCTTGGTGCCAAGGGTCATGGGTTCAAAGCTCCCTTCAAGCGCCAAAATATTCTTTTCAATTAAAAGAGGTAGCTTACGTAGCAGGAGGCCGCCACGTGGCACGTGGCACATCTAGGATAGGCTGGCACGTGGCACACGTAGAGGAGGTTGCCACGTGGTAGGAGGCTGCCACGTGGCAAGCTGCTATAGAGAGGTGTATGGCTGCTACGTCGCAGCGTCGGAGGCTGCCATATGGCACATCTTCCAACATTTGTATGTTGTATAGCAGTAGGCATCACACCATAATATATATACAAAATAAAGTAAAGTAAGATACTCTTACAGGTCAGAAAAGTGAAGTACGAGTAGGCGCAACAGTTGTGTGCACAGAAGCATCACCAGAGACATCAGATAAAGCTTGAGAAATTAGGCACGCCTTCACCATTACTGAAGCATCACCAGAGGCATTAGATAAAGTCTAAGAAATTAGGCACGCCTTCACCATTATTTTTTTTGTTTGAAAATGAACTATCCGTATGCACTCCTTCTTCACCTATTCTCTTTATTTAAAGAGTATAGAAGAGTAAGCTGCTACCTTCATAACCTTTCATCACTTTTCAAGGTAAATGTCTTTTTCTTACATTGTTATTTCCATGTGATGGATAGTGTTAATGTGGACATGGGAGACAACGTTCAGTCTTTAATTTCGGAGGCTGATCTAAAACATTTTCAATTTCTGTACTTCATTCCTTCTTGTATCCACATCCGGGCTCCCTTTCTCCATGAAAGAGCCTTTGAGGCTCCAAATGGTGAAATTTGTCTGTTTGAATGTGCCTTTCTTGCTAGGTTACGTCTACCCTTTTCCCCCTTTGTTAGGGAATTTTTCTCCTTCCTTGGAATTGCCCCCAGACAACTGACCCCAAACGCCTAGAATTCCAAGGCTGATCTAAAATAGGGTGTGTTGTCTACTCTTACTTCACCCTATTTTAGATCAGCCTTAATAGGGTGTGTTATCTTATGGAAGGCATGCAGTAACCCTCCTTTAACTATTAGTGAGGTCTTGCTATGTTATACTCCAACGAAGGTAGATCGATTGTGGTGGAACCTAACTAGCCGATGTAAGTGTCCCTTGATTGAGGTACTATCTAAATCAAATTCGGAGTGGAGAAGCCAATTCTTCTTCATTTCAAGAAGGAACTGAGAATTTTATGACCAAGATACCGGTGCCGAACTAGGATTTTCCGTTCCCCGTACTTGGGGTCAAGTAGACCTCAATGGTGAGTTACTTATGCATGCATATTTTATTACATGGCGGATGACAGTTTTTTTCCTTTTTAGGTTTTCATTCTTTGGATGCGCCAGTTGAAGTAGAAGAAAACATAAACAGAGCCATTCAATATTCGCTAAGGTCCTTTTCCTCTTTAGTGACCCCATTGTCACTCGTCACTGCTGGACTTTGTAGGGGTGTAGTGTCTTCTTCGTGTCAAGCATCTACAGAAGGTATACTCTGTATGACTCCCATTGTTTCTCTTTTGAAACACTAACCTCCGTTGTTTCTCTTTTGAAACACTAACCTCCCTTCTTGCGACTTAGATTCACCTAGCATGTCGTCGGGGCGAAAGTTTGGGAAAGATATTATTGACAAGGTTCAGGAGGAGCGTGCTAAAAACAAAGCCTCACCACAGGGCTCTTCGTCCATGTCGACAAGGAGATTCGGGAGTGACATTCTTTCTCAAGTTCGGGAAGGGCGTTCTAAGGAGAAGGCTACACCTCCCCGCTATCCCAAGAGAACTCGACCACTCCAAAATCAAAGAAATCCTACTCCTGTTGACGACTCATCCTGTCACGCCCTTTGAACGTAGTCCGGATTATGACCACAAGACATAAACAATCACAGTCTCAAAATCAAAATCATATTCCTGTAACCTGTCTCAACCACACATCCACCTATCTATTTCCCTTTACAAAAACAAGACTAAAAATTAATATATAAGATGCAAATATTACAACATTAAAGTTTTAAAGTCCGAAATAACATTTATTACATGCCAGAAATATTGTAAAGAAAAATAATACAAAACATAGACTATTATACGGAATATAACACAACAACACCAGCCCCAACTCTGTCTATAGCTGAGGAGGAACACCCTCCACACCATCCATGCTATGACCTGAAAATATGTGAATAAAATAGGAATGAGCAACCACAGCTCAGTAAGAATTGCCTAAAGCGCACTCCTTAATACCTTCGTGAATCCAAACAAAGAACGGATAAAAGATAAAGGGGTCATACAGGCTCGAGAAAGCAACATATTATATGAGATAATAAAATGAAGTGTCATGCAATGCCAATACCAATGCTAATGTTACTGACACCTCTCACTTCCCAAAATCCCATTTCCATCACAAAAGTTAATATAATCTGCCCAGAGCTGCTCCCCAGTACCACGAGAAGAGAGTTAGTCATCTATCCCTGATACAAGGCCACTCCTTGTGATCATTTTGGGGCTCTAGTGACACAACTACGCGTAGAGCCACTCCCTACGTCTCCTCTAGATTCCCATTAACTGCATAGACGAGGCAACTCCTTGTCCGGTTTTAAAATCATTGATTCAATTCCATTTTCTAAACTCACGGATACAAGGCACCTCCCTGTAATCCGGTTTTCAAAATCATTTTAATGAGATGCTCTCACTTCTTTTTTCATTCTAACCTTAATCCCATGACCATGCAAGATGAATGCACAATTGTGTCATGTCCCAAAGTTTCCAAAACAACAAATCAGTTTATACACAGCATGATACTTCCATCTTTGAAAATTCATAACAAATTCAATTCTAAGTTAAATTGAGTGATTCTAAAGCCTAATGAAAGCTTAAACAATGTACTTTGAGAGTGTGAATTTATTTTAACAAAATCCCTTCCCAATTGGAACAGTTTTGATCCACAAATTCGAAATAAAAATCCATCAGAAACTGATTTCCAGCCTGTAGCTTCCATCTTCAAAAATTCATAGTAAATTCAATTTTCGTCCAAAGTGAGTGAATCCAAAGGCCACTGAAATTTCAAAGACTATATTTTCAAGATAAAATTTTATTTCACAAAAATACCTTACATTTAAAGTAGGTTTAATAAGAAAGACTCGGACAGAAACTGCCCCAACCCAGAATTTCCAGCAAGAACATTCTAACTTCAAAAATTCATAATAAATTCATTTCTCAACCAATTTAAGTGAAACCAATTCTAAATGAAAGCTAATTAACTATATTAATGTAATATCAAATTATCTCTAAAAGATAGATTACGAATTTACATGATTTTGAGCAAAACAGTAGTATGTAATTAAGTCTCAGCAGCACAAAATTTCAGTTTTGTTTGTATACATTTTGCAACTAAAAATTTGAATGAAATCAACTCGCTAAAGGCAAAGGAATTGAGGGTTAGACAATCCTGCCTCAAGGGAAGCTTGAACACTTACTAAACAATTCGAAACCACACCAAAAATGGATCAAAATCAGCAACTAGAAGGTGAAGAACACTTTCCTTTATAAAATACACCCGCATCTCTTCTTTCAACACCCTTGTTGACAGCCCAGAATCAATAAACTGTGCACAACTCTTAACCACAAGGAAGCTCTCTCTCCCTTAGGAACCTTTTTGATTCACACACCCCTCTCAAATTCCTAACACAAAGACCTCAAATGGAGCAATATAAAAGTGACTATAAAGAAGAAGCCAAATGCACGAAATTGGTTTCTGCTGAATTGTTTTTATGTCTATCTCCCTCAATGCATTACACAAGTCATCACACACACACACACAATATGTGACCATGTGAACCCCCATGTGTCAAGCTCACAATTAGTCAAAATGCAAGCCAAGCAAAATGACCAAAAAGTCCTCCCATTATTTCTAAATGTCAATTATCCCATTTGCCTAATAAAAGTCAACTTTGCCCTTTATAAGATAATTAAATACCATGTATGCGATTTGTAAAACAAAAAGTTCATAATGCCCTTTATGAAATAAAAAAAAAAATGACATTTAATTAAAATGAAACACATTTGCAAAATAAATCATAATTTTTGACAATAAAATAAAATGCATGAATGCCAACATGTCCGGAAAATGATAAAAATGGAAGTCCTCACATTCTCCCCAATATACAAGGATTTCGCCCCGAAATCAAGACATACCTGGGGAAGAAAACAAACTCGGATACGCAGAACGAACATCATGTTCCCATTCCCACGTAGCCTCCTCAACACCGTGATGTCGCCACAAAACCTTCACAAGAGTCACCGTTTTACCTCTTAACACTTTGTCCCAAGTGTCAAGAATCTGAATGGGTCCCTCCTCGTAAGAAACATCCTCATCAATGTCAACATCAACCAAACTCAATACATGAGATGGATCTGGCTCATATTTCCGTAGCATCGAAACATGAAACACATTATGGACCCTGTCCATCTGTGGTGGCAATGCCAATCTGTAAGCAACCTCGCCCACTCGATCCAAAATCTCAAATGGCCCAATTAAACGAGGGGACAACTTGCCACTCTTTCCAAACTGTAGCAATCCTTTTCATGGAGAAACCTTAAGAAACAAAAATCTTTCAGAAACTGATTTCCAGCCTGTAGCTTCCATCTTCAAAAATTCATAGTAAATTCAATTTTCATCCAAATTGAGTGAATCCAAAGGCCACTGAAAGTTCAAAGACTATATTTTCAAGATAAAATTTTATTTCACCAAAATAACTTACCATTTAAAGCAGGTTTGATAAGAATGACTCGGACAGAAACTGCCCCAACCCAGAATTTCCAGCAAGAACATTCTAACTTCAAAAATTCATAATAAATTCATTTCTCAACCAATTTAAGTGAAACCAATTGTCAATGAAAGCTAATTAACTATATTATCATAATATCAAATCATCTCTAAAAGATAAATTACGAATTTACATGATTTTGAGCAAAACAGTAGCGTGTAATTAAGTCTCAGCAGCACAGAATTTTAGTTTTGTTTGTATACATTTTGCAACTAAAAATTTGAACGAAATCAACTCAGTAAAGGCAAAGGAATTGAGGGTTAGACAATCCTACCTCAAGGAAAGATTGAACACTTGCTAAACAGTTCAAAACCACACCAAAAATGGATCAAAATTAGCAACTAGAAGGTGAAGAACACTTTCCTTTATAAAATACACCCGCACCTCTTCTTTCAACACCCTTGTTGACAGCCCAGAATCAATAAAATGTGCACAACTCTTAACCTCAAGGAAGCTCTCTCTCCCTTAGGAACCTTTTTCATTCACACACCCCTTTCAAATTCCTAACACAAAGACCTCAAATGGAGCAATATAAAAGTGACTATAAAGAAGAAGCCAAATGCACGAAATTAGTTTCTGCTGAGTTATTTTTATGTCTATCTCCCTCAATGCAATACTCAATTCATCACACACAGACACACAATATGTGGCCATGTGAACCCCCATGTGTCAAGCTCACAATTAGTCAAATGCAAGACCAAGCAAAATGACCAATCCTCCCGTTATTTCTAAATGTCAATTATTCCATTTGCCTAATAAAAGTCAACTTTGCCATTTATAAAATAATTAAATACCATATATGCCATTTGTAAAACAAAAAGTCCATAATGCCCTTTATGAAATAAACAAATGACATTTAATTAAAATGAAACACATTTGCAAAATAAAACATAATTTTCGACAATAAAATAAAATGCATGAATGCCAACATGTCCGAAAAATGATAAAAATGCAAGTCGTCACACTTCCCTTGCAGCTGCTCATGAACAGATTTTTAATACAGGAATGCACCTCCCTAAAAATGCCTTTACCCATCAAGCTGGTGCATCTATTTTAAATGATGTGAATTATGCAAAGGACATATTTGAGAACATGCTGGTGCCTCCATATGACTCGAAAAGGCTCAAGGCGCTTCCCTTCGAGCAGCTCTTAGCCTTTCATGCCCAGAATGTTTGCAAGGTAAGATCGTTTTACCTCATTTTACTGTTGAGTAATGTATATTCCTTGTGATAACTACCAATTTTACTTGTTCACATAGATGGGAGCATTCGCTAAAGAGCTATCTCGATGTACGAAGCTCTCTGAAGAGTCTATACTAGCACTGGATGCGGAGCTGACAGCTGAAAGGGTAATTCGCAAAGAGGTTAAGATTGGCTGCACTAGAGAAAAGGAAAGGATCAAAAAACATTTCCAAGCTAGGCTAGTGATTGAAAAATCTTCTACCGTGGAGGAGTACAAAGCCTCAGTCGAATTTGATCGGGTTAACGCAAATTATTTTTTTGATGGTTTTGAGGAGTTTAGACAATAAGCTATGACCACCTATGAAGACCTGGATTTTCAGCATTTTCAGCCATTTGCTTCTGGAGACCAGAGTCCAAGCAGTTATCTTCAGAGTGGACTGTGCCAAGGAGGATCAAAAGAAGAAGGACCGAGTCATTAAGAATGAGATCAGTAGAATCCAGCCCTAGAGGCCCACAGTAGTGGGCATTTTACGTCTTGAATGTGTAATTGCCTTTATTGCATTTCCTTACGAACAATGTTTATTATTGCTCTGAATGCGACTATGTAGTTTCGCCGATTTGGGTTGGGCGCTGCCATTTATTTGTTCTTTTTTGAACTCTATAGCTTGCCTCCTCTTATTAACCCTTTTAATACAGCTTATTTGAGTATCACCCTTATAGTACAGGGATAAGGGCTATAGGATTCATTCAGCCCGAGTCCTTAAGTGCAGAACACTTTGATCTTTTTGTGACGATCCCTTGTAATACGGGGAAATTAATCACAGGATTCATTCAGCCCAAGCCCTTATAATATGGAGCATTTAATATGAGTCCCTTATAGTACGGGGACAAGAATTACAGGATTCATTCAGCACGGACCCTTATAATACGGGGCATATTAATGTTAGTCCCTTATAATACAGAGACAACTTTATATCAATAGGATAGATGAAAACACAAATTTGCATAATTAATGTGATAAAAATGGATTTTATCAAGAGTTGAACCGAAGATTTACTTGCGGTAACAAATAGACATAATCTAAACGACACGATACTAAAACGAAACTAAAAGCAGCACTAACTAGAAGTAACACTAGGGAATATGAAACTACGGGCACGTACTAATGTCTAATTCTACTGATAGTACTTTCTGAGGTGCTCAGCATTCTAAGGATGGCCAAGTTACTTCCTTCCTAGTGTTTCTAGCCAGTAGGTGCCTTGTCTCTTTATTTGAACAACCCTATAAGGGCCTTCCCAGTTGGCAGCAAGCTTACCCTCGTTCAGTTCCTTGGTGGCTTGGGTGACCTTGCGTAATACAAGATCCCTAGGCTCAAACCTCTTTTCTTCGCTCGAGAATTGTAATATCGGGACATTGTTTGCTGGTATGCCAGAACCCTAACTTGCGCTTGCTCTTTTCTTCCTTCAACTAGATCCAAGTTGACTAACGGCTTTTCTTTATTCTGGAGGGGGTCGTAGTTGGTGGTTCTAAAACTTGGTAGACCAGTTTCTACTGGAATTAGAGCTTCACTTCCGGAAGCTAGGAGAAAAGGAGTTTCTCCTATTGGGGTTTTTGATATGGTTTTATAAACCCACAACACGTTGGGAAGCTCCTCTGGCCATAACCCATTTGCCTTTTCCAGTCGCTTTTTGATTAAGCTGAGTATTGTCCTATTGGCTACTTCGGCCTACCCGTTGCCTTACGGATGACCGGGAGAAGAATAGTGATTTCTTATTCGTAGTTGAGAACAGAAATCCTTGAAAACCGTGCTGTCAAATTGCTTTTCGTTGTCTAAAATAATAACATGGGGTACACCGAACCTACATACTATTGATTTCCCGTGAAATCCTTGACATTGTTTGTTGTGATTGTGGCCAGTGGTTGGGGTTCCACCCATTTGGTGAAATAGTCGATTGCCATGACAACATGCTTGGTTTGCTCTTTTCCTGTAGCTAAGGGGCCAATCAAGTCCATTCCCCATTGGACGAAAGGCCATGGGCTGGACATTGGTACTAGCTGCTCTGGGGTTTGCCTAGGAACATTGGCAAATCATTGATATTTATCATACTTTCGCACGTATTCTAATGCATCCCCCTGCATGGTAGGCCAATAATAGCCCTGGTGGATTGCTTTGCTGGCCAAGGATCTGCCCCCTGCATGGTTTCCACATACTCCTTCGTGTATCTCCTTCATGATATAACAAGCTTCTTGAGTTGACACACAACGTAGAAAAGGCAAAGAAAAACCTCTTTTGTAGAGAACTCCATTCACGAACGTATACCTGGGTGCTCGGATCCTGACCTTCCGAGCTTCCACTGGGTCCTGTGGTAATTCTCCATCCATGATGTATTTTATTATTGAGTTTGCCCACTCTAACCCTGGTTCTAACTGGTTTATTTCCTTGCATTCTTCAAATATACTAGGCTCTTCCAAGTACTCAAGTGGTATAGCCTTAGTATTCTCAAGCTCAACTGCAGTTGCTAGTCGGGCTAATGCATCTGCATTCTTGTTCTCTATTCTGGGTATTTGCTGGATCATTAACTTCTTGAAGTAACCAACTAGGCCCCTTACCTTCTGAAGATACAATTTTATTTTGTTATCTTTGGCTTCGTACTCTTCACGAACTTGCCCTGCAACTAATTGAGAATCAGTAAACACCTTCAAGTGTTGCACTCTGAGTGCTTTTGCCAGCTTTAATCCTGCTATCAAAGCTTCATACTCTACTTCATTATTGGTAGCCTTGAATCCAAATCGAAGTGCATACTTTAGATTCTCTCCTTCTGGCGATATAATCACTAATCCTGCCCCATAGGCTCGGGCAGTTGATAACCCGTCCACATAAAGTGACCAAGTATCGCCTAATTGGGCCTGACTCTCAGGATTTATTTCAGAGGTTATGACCTCATCTTCTTTTTGAGGGAAAGAAAGCTCTGCCACAAAATCAGCAAGTGCCTAACCTTTTATTACTACCCTTGGCCTGTACTTAATGTCAAACTCACCTAGTTCTACTGACCACTTTGTAAGGCGTCCCAATGTCTCTAGCTTGTAAAGGACCTGCCTCAGTGGTTGGTCTGTCGGCACTATCATGGTGTGTGCCTGGAAGTATAGTCTGAGTTTCCTTACTGCCACAACCAGCGCAAATGCTAGTTTTTCTATTGCCAGGTACCTTTCTTCCACTCCCCAAAGTACTCGGCTAGTATAATACACTGGCTTTTGTATACGGCTTTCTTCCCTAACCAAAGCTAAGCTTACCGTCACAGGGGAAACTGCTAGGTAAAGGTACAATTCTTCTCCAAGAATTGCTCGGGACAACAATGGTGGTGAACTAAGATAGTTTTTTAGCCCAATGAATTCCTGGTCACATTCCGGGGTCCACTCGTAAGCTTTCTTTAGTATCCTAAAGAAAGGAAGGCACTTATCGGTAGCTCGGGAGATTAACCTGTTCAATGCTGCCACCTTCCCTGCCAGCCTCTGGACTTCTTTAGTTGATTTAGGCAATCTCATATCTAGTATTGCTCGAATCTTCTCAGGATTTGCTTCGATTCCTCGTTGACTTACCATATACCCCAGAAACTTTCCCGAAGATACCCTAACGGCACATTTGCTTGGATTCAACCGCATCTTATGTGCCTTAAGCACATCAATAGATTCTTATAAATCAACTAAATGGTCCTTAGCCTTGAGGCACTTTACCAACATGTCATCCACATAAACTTCCATGTTTCTGCCTATTTGTTGCTTGAACATTGTGTTAACTAGCCTTTGATAGGTTGCACCAGCATTCTTTAACCCGAATGGCATTACCTTGTAGCAATACAAACCTTTATCAGTGATAAAAGAAGTTTTTCACTGTCAGAAGCATACACGGGGATCTGATTGTATCCAGAGTAAGCGTCCATGAAACTCAATAACTCGTGTCCTACTGTCCCTTCAACCAACATTTCGATACTCGGTAAAGGAAAACTATCCTTTGGGCAGGCTTTATTTAGATCTGTGAAATCCACACAAAGCCTCCATTTGCCATTTGCCTTCTTGACCAGGACTACGTTTGATAGCCAGTGGGGGTGTTATACCTCTAAGATAATGTTGGCCTTAAGGAGCTTCTCGACCTCCTATGATATAGCGCGGTTCCTCTCTGGGGCAAACACTCACCTTTTCTGTCTGTTTGGTTTGAAGGATGGGTCCTCATTAAGCCAATGCTACATAATAGAGGGGTCGATGCCAGGCAAGTCATCATGTGTCCATGCAAATACATCTTTATTGTTTCTAAGAAGTTGGACGAGTGGATCCCGGATGAGTGGGTCAAGTAATGATCCTATACTCACCTTTTTCCCTGTTCCCTCTTCATCCAAAT